TCAAAATCAAAATCCTCTGTGCTTCAAAAGAAAACAAGGGAAAAAAGAACCTACAGACTGAGAAAATATTTGCAAATCATGTATCTCATATGGAACTTGTACTCAGATTATATAAAGAACTCTTAAAACCAGATTTTAAGAAGACAAATAATGTAATTAAAAAAGAACATAAGAGGTATACATATTGGGAAGAAATAAAAAGATAAAAAGTTATTTTTAATGGGAAAAAATCTAAATAGACATTCCTACAAAGATATACAAATGACCAGTTAGTTAGCACATGAAAAGATGCTCAGTATCATTAGCCATCAGGGGAATGCAAATAAAAATCACAATGAGATACCATTTCATACTCAGGATGGCCAGAATGAAAAAGAAAGACAATAAGGAGTGTTGGTAAGGATGTAGAGAAGTTGGAACCCTCATACATTGCTAGTGGGGATATAAAATGGTGCAGCTTCTTTAAAGAACAGTTTGTCAGCTCTTCAAAAAGTTAAACATAGAGTTACCATATGATCCAGCAATTCCATACCTAAAAAAATTGAAAACAGGTGTTCAAATAAAAACGTGTACATGATTGTTCATAGCAGGATTATTTATCATAGCCAAATATTGGAAATACCCCAAATGGCCATCAACTGGTAAATGAATAAAATGTGGTTTATCCATGCAATGGAATATAATTCAGCCATAAAAAGGAACAAAGTACTGACACACGCTATAACATAAACAAAAGTAAGTAAAAACGGCCAGACACAAAAGGATTCATTATATTATTCTGTTCTTTTCTATGTTTGAAATAGTCCATACTAAAAAAATAAAGTTCTGTAGAAGCACAGATGAAGGGGCAACATTTGATCTAGACCTTATAGGATTAGTTCAGCATATGAGCAAGGGAGAGGGTCTGATGGAGGAAATGAGAAGTCCAAGGCATGCGCGTGTAAAGAATACTTGAGGACCAGTATACAGTCAAGAGCAGCTACAGCTGTGGGGATGGGGATGCAGCCACAATGAAGCATGTGTACATGCCTTGGGGAGGACCTTCTACAGCCACACCGAGTCTAGACCTCATTCATAAACAATAGCGAACCGAAGAAATGTTTAAGCAGAGGAACAATGTGATTCTACCATTCTAGTGGCACTTATGGAAAATTAAGTGAAACGGGTAGAGATTGAAGACAGGGAAACTACCTTATCAGCCTAGATAGAGAATATAGAGGTCTACCAGAGCAGGGACACTGAGACTAAAGAATGAAGGGCTCATGAGAAAGACATTCAAAGGACTTGGTGGCTGGCCAGAAGTCAGAAATAGAAAGAGGTTAGGAATGACTGTGGCATATGGGTATGGCACTTAGACTGGATATGTTGTTATCAAGACTGTAAGCATAGAAGGAAGAAGAGGTTTCTGGCAAGTAATAAAAAAAAAAAATTTGCTTTTTAATGTGTTCAGTTGCAAATAAGGACTCCTAAGGAAGGAAACTAAAATAGAAAGATTCCAGATTTTAAAGGTACACATAATAGTTTCTATCCAAATTTTGTGTTAGGGAATGGACTAGGGTCAGATGTCTCATGCCCACAAAGGTCAGACATGAGGTAGAGAAAAGGCAAGAACTAAAGTTGTATAATATATCTTCCTTTCTGCCCAGCTTTAAATATAAGTGTGTAATCTACCTAAGTTAAGTAATGTCCCACTTTTGAAAAGGTCAAACTTTCCAGCTGCCTTCTCCTTTCACTAAAAAAAGGGAGTGTCCCAGGAGCCAACTGAGGGGCTCTCCAAAGGCTAAATCTGGGATACCGTGAGCAACAAAGTAAATGATACTAATAGATCATAACCTACAGAATAAAACAAATATCCATGAGTCTAAAGTGTTATAAATAATTAAATAAATAATAAATAAATGGAGGGGGGAGAAGGAATGGCTTTTCTTATAGAATTCCAATTAATAAATGTAGAAGGAATGAAAGAGAAAATCATCTTTTGACAGATACCATATTAATAATTGTTGCAAACAAGATCACCAGGATATTTTCAGAGTCTCAAAAGTATCCCTCCACCAGACACTTAATTACAAAGCAGAAAAACAGCAACTTTACAGTGGAGAAACCTAGCAGACTCAGAAACCTAGCAGACACCACCTTAACCAAGTGATCAAGGTTAACATCACCAGCAATGAGACATATCCCAACAGGGTGCACTGACAAGGGCTGAGCGTCGCTTTTAGAGTATTTTTGCAAAAAATGCACGACATGAGGAAACTTCAGATAAACCCAAAGTGAGGGGGACATTCTACAGAGGACTAGTCAGTCCCCTTCAAAAGTGTCGAGGTCATGAAAGACAAACTATCCTCAACTGGAAGAGGTTAAAAGGACATGACAGCTGAAGGACTATGAGATCCTAGGCTGAATCCTGGACCAGAAAAGGGACATTAATAGGATAACTAGTGGAATTTTAATTAAAGTCTATGGACTAGTTAATGGTATTGTACCAGTATTAATTTCCTGGAATAGATAATTACATTAGTTATATAAGATGTTAACACTAGAGGAAGCTGGGTGAAGTGTATATGGGACTTCTTCATACTATTGTTGCAACTTAAGATTGAAATTATTTCAAAATGAAAACATTTAATTAAAAAAAGAAGTGAGTAGAAAATAACATTTGATAGTGAAGAAAAGAGTTCTCAAAAACAGTATGTATCTAATTATTCAGGAAAGGCATAGTACTACTCCAAGTTCTCCTGATCCAACAGAGTGCGTGACAATGTAGTCAAGTAGACAGACGGAGCAAAGACATAGGGCAGAAACACTGAGAAATGACAGCTGAAAGGAGAAAGTAATATTATAAAAAGGCCAGCTGCTGGAGCTGCACATGGCTCTGCAGCCTTTGGACTACGAGCTCTCTATTCACTGCGGTACATGAACTAAATGTATTGTGCAGGGGTCCACCCAAGCACAGGTTGGATGACCTTGGACAAGTTACTCTACCCCTCTGAGCCTCATCTATGAAATGAAGATGACTCCACCCATCTCTTGGGGGTTGTTGTAAGAACAAAATAATGTACACAGAAGCACACAGAGCTGTGCTTCTCATGTCGTAGGCATTCAATAAAAGGTTCGTACTCATGATCCTAATTCAGAATAAGAAAAGGCTAACCTATATTCCACAGTTTAAGAAAGTAGGGAAAGACAGAGAAAAGACCAGGTGAAGACACAGGAAGAAGGAGGACAAGCCAAGAGAGAGGTCACAAAAGAAATCAACCCTGCCGGCAACTTGATCTTGGACTTCCAGCCTCCAGAACTGTGGGCCTCATCCAATCAAATGAAAGTTGAAAGAGAAAAAGACAGAGGTGGCCCCAGGAAGAAGGAATTCTGCCTCCATCCAGATGCCTTCAGGATCCAGCTACAACATCAACTCTCCCTGGGCCTCCAGCCTGACAGCCTGCCCTATTAACTTTGGATTTGCCAGCCTCCACTGCTGTATTTCCACATCCAGAAGAGAAGTCTGAGTGGGTGAGTAGCAGGGGTGGGAGCCAAGCTCATGGACCACACACCAGCGACTCCTGCTTCCAGCCAAAAGTCATGGTAACCTGTCATGCCTCCCACATTCGTGGGGCCAGGCACGCACTCTCAGCCCCACCATGGGTAGTACCAGGAGAAGACAAAGTCTCGCATTCAGAAGCAAACCTGCCCAGGTCGCAGGCCCTGAGTGGCTCTTCTGAAGCTAAGACATCTTCCAATTGAAGCCTTTTGCTTCCTGCTGAATTCCAGTTGGTTTTCTAATATCAACCCAGTCAAGGTCAAATGGTCAAAGTGGAAAGCCAAACTCAGGGAAGCAGATTTAGAGAACTGAATGGACACTCTCACTGCCAGCTCACAGGTGTGACTCAGCGGAAATTCTGGGACAAAGAGCCTGAACTAAATATTTGCGGAAGAGAACAGAATAGATGCTCGTGGAATTGGCACTGAATGAATAAATGCTACAGCTGATGAGTGAATGAGTGAATGAATGAAAGGATCGGGCCCTTCACTCTGCTGAGCAGCTCTGAGGAAATTTATTTGAGATAAGGACTATGTGCAATCAATTAACTGGAGGATGCTTAAAAGGCAGGGTGAAAAAGGTGAAAGAATTAAGAAGTACAAATTAGTGGTTACAAAATAGTCATGGGGATGTAAAGTAAAGCACAGGGAATATAGTCAATAATATAGTAATAACTATGTATAGTGCTAGGTGGGTACTAGACTAGTCAGGGGGATCACTTCTTAAATTATATAAATGTCTGACTGCTATGCTGTACACCTGAAATTAACATAAAATAATAATAAAACAGAGAGAGAAAAAAAAAAAGAAAGTAGGAAAAGGTGTAATTCACCTTAAACATCTATCCAAAAAGGTTCAAATGAAAGCCACAGTGCCTGGAGGGGTAAATTTCAATTAGCTGAGAAAACCACTCATGTGAAATACCTCATTCCCACAAAGCAACAGATAAGGCAGGCATAGCTTTCCATGCTTAAAACCAGTAGAATCAGCTAAACATCTGAAACACAGTTCATGATGAAAGATTACCAATTTTCTTTTGTACTTTACCCAGAGAGCCTCACTACAGTGCTGTCACTTGATGCTTTTCAGTGCCTAATTAGCATCAAGCACCTTTCTAAACCTATCAAGGCCCACCACACAAAACATTTTAAGAATATTTATGCCTCAGTGGAATTGTGGGTGATTTTTTTCTTTCCGACTTCCTAAATTTTATGTAAAATAGTCATGCTAAATTATAATGGAAAATGAATAATTTATAAATTAAAAAAAAACTTGCTATGGTCAAGTTCTTGGCTAAGTCTGTCAAACAGCGTTTTTCGAACCTATCCCTCTTTTAACAATATTCACATTAACTTGATTATAAAGTGAAGTCAATATAACAGACAATTAATGCCATATGCCTATTTGGTCATTTCCTGGGATATAGTAACATGGCAACAGGGATGACAAGAAAAGCACTTACCTCTACATTATTTGCAATGTAACGGTTGTCACCCTCGACTTTGACAGAGAAGTCATAATAACCACTGGAAAACTTGACATTCATGAAGTTTAGTTCAAAAACATCCCTGTTAAGAATGAGCAGGGTTAGCAAGCACTCACATGGGGAAGTCATGAATACAACAAATGGGCTGCAAAGGGAGGCAACTCCTTGAGATGGTTCAGGCCTGCGTCACTTCTTCACTTTGGATTATAATGTGGGAAAAACTTCAAAATGATCCAAAATGACCTCTTTCAACTCTACAGTCTTTTTTTTCCCCTTTGTTTCCCCTCTCAGCTCCTAAAATCCCACCTTCCTGGGGTAGCCTTCCACAATTATATGTGAATCAGGTGAGTCTATAGTATGATCTCAATTACGTACAAGAAAAAAGAGTGAATTCTTTTCCCATTCCACTGATCATTCCTAAACATGATTTCGCTTTTTAATTTCACATATCAGCCTATATATCTTTGACTGTCTAAGAAATACATTTTCTAAAACTCAAAGTTCCTGATCCCGTTAACTTACTAATTTAACATTGAACAAAATTTCACATAAAATTGACCTTCAATTTTTAAAGACTTGACAAAACAATAATATGCAGCCATTAAAAATAAGACTGTAGAAGCATACTTAATCCTATGGCAAAAACGTTCATGACACATTGTTATAGCTAAACATAATCTTAATTCAACTTAAAAAATACAGCAAAATGTTAACAGCAGTTATCTCTAAGTGGTGGAATTACAGGTGTTTTATATTTTCTTCTTTGTGTTTTTCTGTATTTTTCCTACAATAAATACGTATTACTCATACATCAGAAAAAAAACAATAAATATTAAATTTAAAACAGGAGGGGCTGGCTGAGTGGCTCAGTTGGTTAAGAGCACGAGCTCTGAGCAACAGGGTCACCAGTTCGGTTCCCACATGGGCCAGTGAGCTACGCCCGAGCTGAGCTGCCAACAGGTGGCAGGATGGCTCAGCTGGTGAGAGCAGGTGCTCCTAACAACAAGGTTTCCAGTTGAACTCCCGTACGGGATGGTGGGCTATGCCCACCTGCAACTAAGATTGAATACGACAATTTGAGCTGAGCTGCCCTGAGCTACCAACGGGCGGCTGGATGGCGACTAGACTTGAAGCTGAGCTAGCTGTGCCCTCCACACTAAGACTGAAGGACAACAACGTGGCTGTTCTCCTTCCCCAATTCCCCAATAAAATCTTTAAAAAAAGTCATGTTTAAAAAAAAAAATTTTTTTAAACCGGCTACTTCTATAACAATGACAAGACAGAGACAACTACAGGATTTCAATGCCAGTAAGTCAAATTTACCTAACCACAGTTCAGGTAAATTTGGTTTTGTGATCTTGGTAGTATCCACACTAATCAGGGTTATATATTGGCTGCAAGCTAACTTTCCAAAACAAATATATTGGCGCCTGATCAAAAATATTATCAGGACTTACCCTACGAGAGTGAAAGAGGTCTTCTGGAGGACCGTGGCTCTGGAAGCAACAGACTTAGCATGTTCTAGTTTGACAGAGGCCTGAGTCAGAGGCTGGGACAGAACATTGGTGACCTGCAGCTGGAAATAGATTTAAAAATTATCTGTAGCCACAAAGACTGAGGGAGTACAGGATTTTGTTCTGGGTGCTTTATCCATAGGGAGGTGAACTCTGCTGGAGAAACAGCACCTCATTTTAGGAAATCTTCACTGACTAGGTGGCCTACTGTCAATCAGAGATCAAATACAGGAAAACGAATTGGGAATGAGATAGATGATAGAGTGCTAAAGTGGAGAGGATCTTCAAGATGATCTTGTCCACTGATCTCATTTTTCAGACAAAGAAACTAGAGTCCAGGGAAAGAATGGCCCCAGATCACACAGTTAAGTTCCCTTCTCTCTAATCCCTGTGCTATCCACTCTACTCAAGTATCTCAAAAAAATATATATATATTAGCAAGAGAAATACTTCAGGAAGATATGGACAATGGGGAAACTGAAGAAATGTGGATAACATTAATAACTGTCATTTGTTGAATATCAACTATTTACCAGATACCAGGCTAGGCCCTTTATACATTGGGTCGTCGGAAAACTCATGACGCATTTTTGCAACGAAAAACAGAAAAAATACGTCATGACTTTTCCAACAACCCAATATATCCTCCCATCAATCGTATGAGAGAGATACCCCAGCCTGCTAGCTTCTAAGCCAACATTTTTTCTACTCTGCTCTCTCAGCACCCTGATTCATGGTGAATTATGTTAATTAGGTTTTTGCTCACCCCAGTCTTTGCTGAGGGGATGTAGGTTGTAGGCAGGGGGAAGAGAGGCAATTCTGAAGTACAGGGCAGCTCCTCAGGAGAATATCTGCAGGGGCCACCAAAGTAATGGGACAGATGGAACTGTCCTATGTGGAACCCAGTGTTTCATAAAATGTTTAATTTCTTATGAAGATCTTAGTTTATCAGTGGTTTCCAAAAAACAGCAACAAAAGCCTCATTTGAGATGAAATCTCTCCAATTGTGCTTTTGCTCTATTCAAAGAATTAACACAAAAGACAAGTCTATGCTTACTGCTGGATGAGGAGGAGAGCCATCTATGCTATGAAGAGGCAGAAGGATACACTGCTAACCAGGGAGGACGAGGCCTGGTATTTATTTTGATAACTATAAGCACCAAAATTACTTGGGAATTTAAAAAGCTGACTTAATGTATTTAGAAAGTTTTGGTACTGAAAAATGCATTTTAGAAGCAAGATCTCTCTATCCAACTGGAGTTATGAACCCAGAAATGCAATTTTCTTGCACTGAATTTACTGAAAGCCTTCCTATTTAAAATTCTCGAGGGAAGCAAAAAAAAAAAACCAAACACACGCTTTTTTTGATAGGTTGTGAAGGGTTCTGTGACTAGTTCACCTGGTGGTTGTGTCCCCATTTCTAGGCTATGGGAAATGAGCCTTGCTCTATATTAATGGGTATGTCCTCATGGGGTGACAATGGGATGTAAAGCAGTCTGTGACTTCTGAAAGCCCTACACTGGAAACGACCGTCAGGGTGACACACTGGGGCACAGAGGTCATACCCGCAGGATGGCCTGTTCATGAGTGTCGGAAGGAGAGCCCTCAGACACAACCACAACTGGCACATGGTAGCGATTCTGGGAGAGTGCCGTGGCAGCAGAGGCCACACTGAAGGCTTCTGAGAGCGAGTCAAAGTTCTTCTTGCTGAAGATGGCATTCATGAGCTGGATGACCTGATCCTGAAAGACAAGGAAACACAGCTGGAGACCTTCCTCCATCGAGAAGGTGGGAGAGCCTCCCTAAGGCCTGGCTCAAGTCATTCCTTATCTGTGTCTAAGTGTTCACATGGGAGCTCTGTTAGCCATTAATCCAAGTTGGTAGAGGAGGAAAAAAGCAAATATTCTGCATTTAAGCTTAAAACTTGGATTTGGTTGTTTTTTTCCTCCCATCTTCCAATACACATTGAAATTCATGCATTTATTTGTCAATCATTTATTGAACGCTTACTATGCAAATGCAAGGTACTTCTAGGTCACTACTGAGATATGAAAGTATTTTATAAAATACATAGACCAGGAACCATTTGTTCAATACACATGCCAGGCACTGATAGGTGCTTTACATGTATTAACACAAATCTTGATACAAACCCTGAAAAGACGGATATTATCAACGTTTTTCAAATGAGGAAACTGAGGCTTAAGAACGCTAAGTAACTTCAACTAGTTATGACAGAAAGAAAAAAACAACCAAAAAAAGCAAGTTCAAATTTCACATGTAGGTCTGTTTGTCTCCAAAGCCCTTCCACAATAAAATGCATTCTTTCCAGGTTCCCTTCACCCTCCCAGTTAAACTACCTACCCTCCCAGCCCACCTCTAAGCAGTACATTGGGGCTAAGTCTGTATTTACAAGACAAAACCTTACAGCCAAAATGTACATTACAAAGAAACTAAAATAACTCTCCATTAAGAACTAATGGGCTGCTTAAAGGAGAACACTGAAAGCAATTTTTTTTAAAAAGTAGAACCTAAAAGGCACTATTAAAATTCTGGAGGTTGTTCGCTTAGGAGGAAACATTTTCCACTTCAATCAGTTTTGTTTTTGAAAATCTACCATCTAACAAAAAAGCTCCCTTGTTCCTGACAGTGTTATTCACAGTCGACATGAAATAATTTTCTTTAATTGTACCAATTACATTTTTCCATCACTAGGCTGTTGACATCAGAATGGTTATGTCAAAAACAGTGACATCCAAATTACTCCAGCCAAATACCTGTTTAGTAGAAGCTTGGGAATAAAGTAAGAAAAAGTTTAAGTTGTATATGAAGAATATGGCCAATTTATCCACTGTATTGTGTATAAAAGAGTCCCTAAATGATTTGTATCCAGAGACCCACATTCCCGCAGTTTAACCCGAAACAGAAATCAAAAGAGTGTATCTCTAGACCTCCTACACTTAGGATGAAGGAAAAGACAAAATAGGAATGCAAATACATGAAAAAATTATTAGATCATATCCTCCGTAGAAAATATGAAATTAATTCAAATTATCCAAGACAGATAATTATTTACTGCTTATTGAAGAAACTCAGCACAGAATTCGTAATGCAGAAAAGAAATGAAAGTTCTAATTAGAATCCAAGGCTCGCCTCTTAAAATCAAGACAACAGCAGCTTGTATGTTAAGTCCTTTAGATTAAGGGCTGGTAGCCATCTCACAAACAAGAGGTACAAAGAGGGTCCTACTCAAGAGGCTTCCCACACACATTCCAACTAAAGGTTTTTTCAGGTTAACAAGCTCCTCTTGAAAAAGAAAAAGCAAAAAAAAAAATTAACTCTTGGTGGATGTCCGGTAGACACACATGCCTCTCAGTGAACTATGTCAATCAGTAAAGATTAGCGAAGATTTGGCTACTGCTGAGTTTGAGGCGGGAGGGAGAACAGGAATTTTGAAGTATAGGGCACTTCTCAAGAGAAAGAGGATTTGCATGGGCTACCAATGTGGGAAACATTCATGAGACAAGCAGTAAGGGGTTATCAGAAAAGGGAGGAGAAACAAGGGTAATACACTTGGCCTTCTTGTCACTACCTCGCAACATGTTCGTATCCCATTTAAAAAGCAAGCGTAACAATTTATTTACGTGTCTACCCCACTGGCAACCAGTTTCTTGAGGACAGGGATTCCATCTTTCAATCTCTCATTCTCAACGCCTAACCCAAGGCATTGGGGGACTACATCCAAGGCTAACTGAACAGCCTTCTCTGATAAAAGCTGTCCTTAGCAGATAAAGCCAACAACCCCTTTGGGATGCACGCCTGAGAATTATTAGACAGGCACCTCCTTAATGGATGGCTCAGTCCCCACATGGTCCATGAGCTTGTAGGTGGCAGCCACAAATAACGCCGTCGTTTCCAATCCTTCTTCAAACTGGAGGTACACACCTCCCAGTTCGTCCAGGCGGGCAACAAGGTCCTGGCATAACAAAACGGAAGCATTTGGGAAGTCAGGTGAGAACAGAAATGAGATGCACAAACCACTGCCACCCAAGTGCAGACTGTTTCGAGAAACCTCACTCTCAATCTGGAGACCATCTCAGTCACTTAGCATTTCCCCCAAAAAGGTGCTTAGACAGAGAGCAGAGTATATAGTACAGGCATTTGACGAGAACAGTATCTGCTGCAGCTCTTCCAGTGCTCCTTCCCTGACCCTTTGTACTCAGACCCAAGCCCAGGAGTCATGGCACTGAGGCTGCTCTGGGCAGGAGGCCAGTGGGCCAGGCCGCAGTGCGCCCAGGAAGCATCGTGGCACAGACGGATTCCACAGCCATCCATTTGGATACAATCTACAGAGCAGAGTGTTTCTCTTTCTTACTCAATGCTCTAAGGATGAAGAGAGTCAGACTGCTCTCCTGGGCAACAGGATGAGGCAGCTAATGTGCCTGTGGGGCATCCAGTGATGGCACTGTCAGGACTGCCTGTCATCACTGGCAATGCCATCCTGAGTAGGCTCTGAGTAGCAGAAGGTCCTGTGCAATGGAAAGGATGAAAAAAATAAAACCCCAGTGACCACCTGCTGAGCACCTCTTATATACTAGGCACTTTAGAACCTCACTTGTTCCTACAACCCCCATAAAAGGAAATTGAGGATCAGACATTAAGTCATTTGCCTGAGATTAAGTAGTAAGTGGCAGAAAAAAATATTTGAATATCAGATTTTCTGGGCTCTGAAATCTGTAGACTATGAGACAATACCTACAGAAGGCTGGAAAAGTAGTTCGTTGCCTAACTGATGGTATAACTATACTACCCTAAGGAGTACTGCCCAGGACATACTGCTGTGATACAAACAACATAAGTGTGCCACGGATATGAAAAGAAATGTAACTTGCTGTAACAAATCATGCATGTCTGTGGGCAAGGCTCTTCTAAAGGGTTTCAAAGACAGAAGCTGGGAAAGTTCTTTGGCAAAATAAATTCACACCTCAATCTCCTCCACGATGCTTCTCAGGTCAGCCTGCTGGGACAGGTGGGATGCCGTCTGCAGAGCCTGGACCGTGCTGGAAGGTAAAGAGTAGAACCCTAATGAATGACAAGCCTCCTTTGTCCACTTGTCCCTCCCTGTATTGGGGCACCTTTACAAATGTCCCACTCTTATTTTTCCCAAGTCTGAAATAGTCTCAACCTTTAAGGAACTTATTTACAGTCTCATTGGGAAAGATGTGACAAAGACCATTACATTACAAAGATCATTACAGTGAGAGAGGGCAATCTGGACAACAGGACCCTTAAGAAGTACTGTGGGCACAGAGAAGGGAGGGAGCACAGGTTCACCCCCCTCTGAAAATCGGTTTTATTCCTAATGGCATCACATATAGCATACTGACACTAGGTTTCAAAGAGAGAAACTTAGGGAGAACAGGATTCATTTTGACTAAGATCTATCTGACAGACGTTGACTGCCTTTTAATTTTCTACTTTTCTTACTCCAAGACCCAAGAAATATGGTAGAATCTACATATGTAGATTGCTGGGTAGAATTTGGAACAACTTTCCGAAACCAGATTAATGCAATACAAGGAAGCGTTCAGTAATCATGAGTTAAATGGCTAAGGCTTGTGCTACCATCATCCTGCTGGGAGACATGAAAGTCACTCCTCCTTCAGGCATTAAATAAGATGAAAGGAACAGAAGATCTGGTTCCCAAACCAGGGCCTATTCTCTCTTTTTCTTTTCCTACCATTTATTTCTGATTATAAAAGTAGCTTATTTGTCAAAAATTCAAACAACACATTCTAAAGAAGAAAATTAAAATTCCTGTAACACCTACCCCTAAAGGATAACTACTCTCCAATTTTATTTATGTATGTACGTATGTATGTTTATTGGAGAACTGTTTTTTTTCCAGGACCCATCAGCTCCAAGTGAAGTAGTTGTTTCAATCTACAATAGTTGTGAAGGGCGCAGCTCACTGGCCCATGTGGGAATTGAACCGGCAACCTTGGTGTGGTGAGCACTGCGCTCTAACCACCTGAGCTAACCGGTCATTCCTCAAATTTATTTTTAACTTAATCATATATTGTATACATCTTTCCATTCTTATTAACAATGACATAGCACTGCACTGCTTAGATGTACCATAATTTACTCAATCTCCAATTTATAAACATTAAATGTTTACTAGGTCATACAATACTGTAACTGATTTTATATATATATATATTATAATTCATTTTATATATATACTTTTTACATGTTTTTAATTTATTGAAATGATATCCCCAGAACAAAACCAGCCATTTGAAAGTGAACCATTCAGTGGTATTTAGTATATTTCACAATGTGCAATTACCACTTCCATCTAGTTCCAAAATATTCCCATCAGTCCAAAATAGAACCCTATACCCGTTAAGCAGTTTCTTCCCATTTCTTCCTTCCCCCAGCCCCTGGCAACCACCGATCTACATTCTGTGTCTATGGATTTCCCTATTCTGGGTATTCCATATAAGTGCACTCATGCAATATGTGACCTTTTGTGTCTAGCTGCTTTCACTTAGCATGTTTTCAAGGTTCATCCAGGTTATACCAAGTATCAGTACGTCATTATTTTTTATGCCTCATTCATATATTTTTACCCACTTATGAGTGTATTTCTGTAAGATAAACTTTTTAAGGTAGAATGTGGTAGGTATATGCACATAAGATTTTTTTATTAGATTCTCTTCTATTAATGGAAGTAAGTTGGAAAATGTAAACGGTGCTTTTCTAGGTGGAATGGAGAAAGCTGAGGACCCCTGGTGGTAGAGCCAGCTGCTGCTCAACCTTAGAAAGGTTCCCTAATTCCCAAGAGAGGGCTGGGCTTTTGTGTCAAACCACCATTTAGTAAGTCACTGTATTGGGGAATGTAGAGTGAGAATTTGTCTGCCTTTATCGAGATCATAACAATTTGGATTCCCTCCATGGAAAACTAATTCCATTAAGATGACAAGTTGGGAAAACAGAGGAGTCACAATTCACGGACAGAGAAGCCCCAGAGTATTCAACGACTCCTGTGGGATGCTTGTTGGTATAATGCACTTGAGAAAATGAAGCCTGAATTTCCAAACAAAATAAAAACCCCACATCTGCCCATGATAAATGCTGAGCCCAGATAAGGCTGCTAGGATACCCTAGAAAGAACTTTTCAATTAAGATATCGTTTTTCTCTTCTTTGGAACAAGTGTATGTCATGTTGGTAACAACCTCAGAAGTTTCTAGAATGAAATTAATCCACTTAGCATTTGAAAAGTTTTGCCAACGGCTTTAATTCCTTATTCCCCAGCCAGCAATTTCTTTCCCTCTGGAGTACTGTATTCAAACACTAAGAAAGCAGATTCTTTCTTGCTAAAATACAGCAAATGACTCAAAGAAATTCGGTTATGAAGAGACCACAATGGCACTTTTTCAGATGGTTCATTCAACCCTACAAATAATTTTTTCCCATTCTAGACAAGTTTATGAACATTCATTTCCTAGAATCGGCCCACTTAAATGCAGAAGGTCCATTTTGAAGAGTCCTAATTTCTATCACATTTCCTTAAATAGGGCAAATTAGTAATAACATTATATAAGGCATCCTGCAAGTCTGATCTTCACAATAATCCTGTGAGACAGAGATCACTCTCTCTGTTTTACATATGAAAACACTGAAGTTTAGGGATTTCAACAGCCTGCTCATGGTCAGGGGTATTAAGTGCAAGGGTCTGAATTTGAACACAGTTCTATCTAATCTCTTTCTACCTGTACGCTTTCTACAAGAGAGCAGAAACACAAAAGTATAGTTTCAGCCTTTATTAACTCTTTGTTGGACACCTACCACGTGTGAGACTCTATGAGTACTGCAAATAAAGAAGTTTACAATCTAACATAGAAATAACTACAATACAACCAAGGAGGCAACCAGCTCTCTAAGAAATGGACCGAAGAAGGAAGTGCTCTAGAAGAGAAGGAACTCCCTTTGTGGCATGCCCCCTAAGAAGCCAGGCACTGCAGTGGGCTCTTCACATGTATTATTTCACCTAATCCTGACATCTGTCCTATGATGCAAGGATTATTGGTCTCATTTTAAATATGAGGCTCAGAGAGGTCAGTAACTTGCCCAAGTCACAAAGCAAGGAGGGAACTGAACTGGTGCTCAAACCCAAGCCTAACTGATTCCAAAATGGATGGACTTTCTTTGTACTTTTTCCTGTTCTGGGGTTTTGTCGAGGGAGATTTTCCTTTTTGCTCGGAGGGAAATGGAAACATTTTTCTATGGAAGGCAGCATCAGAGTGAGGCACTGACAGTGATATCACGACATGAGATGGTGGTGATGGAGGCGGCATTCCACAAGGGATTACGAGAAGAGATCAAAATAACGTAATCTGAAACCAAAGGACCACAAGGGCCAAGCACTGGGGAAAGTGTGTATAAAACATCAGCCCTGGGAAAAGTATCAGCCTCCAAGTCACTGATTACTGGCCTTGTCAATGAGTAGGGTATGACAGTGACAGAGAAAACATCCACTGACTATGAATACACCCCTTAACAAAGCTTCAAATTTAGAAACATTTTGGTTCTTACAAAAAAGAAAAAAACCCAACCCCCCCAAAAAAGAAAAAAAAAATACACCCCCTACCCCCCATAAAACAACAACAACAAAAACCTTGGGAAACAACTGAACTATTCTGCAATAAGGAATTTGTGTCATCAACCGCTTGCTAAACAGTTAACAGGAGTCCAGGTGCTCTACTCTCTTTCAGGGGTTGCAATTAGGGGGACACAGAAAACAAAAAGTACATATACTGTTTTAAATAAGGAGTTCCGGTGTTTAAAAAAACTACACATACTATCGCCTTTAAGTTTAGTAAATGTTCTTAGGTCCGTTACAACATTTAAATTTATAATAAACAGGGACGCTGCTCTGCGTTCCTTTCCTGTACGGTGCCTCTGCTTCGCTGAAGCCTTTTGCAGAGTAGCAGAATCTGAGTTCAAGAATACTCTCCCCTCTGAGCATCCTCCTCTCACACCAGGTTCTGTCTCTCACAACTTCAAGGAACACCTGACACATAGGAGGTGCCCAGAAAATATTTGCTGAACCAATGGATGAACCCTCTCAGGGTGGTACCCGACACAAATGACGCCTGAGAAGTACTGGAGATGATGACTCACGCTAGCACCGTCTCTTCCTTGCTGAGGCGAGCAGTAAGGGCGCTGAGTGCTTCTTGGGAAGCCAAGGGAAGGCCAAGGCCGCTCAGGGCTGCCACAGCGTGGTAGATCTGGGTAACAGATGAGTCTTCACTGACAGCGGCCAGAAGCAGATCTTTGGTCTCATTTGAAATAGAAATCTAAGAAAGGGTTGGCAGACACAGCGTTTTAGAACAGGAGCTGGCAATCTGTGGTAGGCATCCCAAAGATGGCACGCAAAGCAGCTGCCGAAGTCATACTACCTGGCTGGCATCTGATCGCTCCCCCTCAACTTCTCAGACATCAGAATTAAATGTTTTGAAAACCTTAACACAACACGTGAAAAGATTCTGGCAAGTCACTTGTCTACTTACATGGTTCTCCTATATTCAATAAAATGGATTTCCAGGAATCTCGCATGGGGTATTTTTTCTTTACTTTGAACATTTTTAAATGTTAAAGAGACACAGAAGGAAAAATGGAGACTTCCCAGGAGAGAGGCAACTATAGAGAAGAGTTACTTAAATCCACGGAAAGGGAAAACTCAGAGGGAAAATAAATTATACTTCTTTAAAAAAAAAATTTTTTTTTTGCAAGAACTGAATTCCCACCATCACTAATGGGTTTTTATTGTTAAAAACAAAAAATCTGACATGACCCCCTCCCTCTTTAAAACTATCCAGTTTAAGGTAAATATATATGCAGGAAGCTGAACTCACCTCACACCCTGAGAGGGCCTGGCTGGACTGGGCAGCGTAGAAAAGGGAATCCACGTTGCTGGGATCAAGGTTTGATTTAATGAAGGTGCATGCTTTCTAAATGAGGGGAAAAGTCAATGGTAAGTGATTGGGAAAAGTATCCAAGTGTTTTGGATGACAAATAAAATTCTAAGCAATCTATGATGGCTTAAAGTATGAGCTGCACAAAATTTCATTTTACAAGCAGTTGTTTTCCATAGGACACTGTATTACCCAAAATTGCTGATTTCAAAGAAGGAGCGACAAACCTGAAGGAACTCTAGGCCTTCTGAATCCTAGAAAGGAAGGAAAGAAACCACTGCCACCGATCACCTGTTCTAGTTATGACCTGTGCTGAGTGTTTATGATGCTCTTCCATTTAATGAATATAAGGACCCTGTGGTAGGTAGTATCATCCCCATTTAACAGAATAAGAAACTGAGGCTTGGAGTTGGTAAATAACCCGATGACAGTGACAAAACTAATGAAGTGGCAGAGTGGCTCCTTTGATTCCAACTGTACTGGGATCTCCGCTTTGATGTCTGCAAAGCTAAGCCAGGTTGAACACAGCTAAAATAAGCTTGAAATCTTTGACTTCTTCACCTTGATTTTCCAGCTCATGCGCAGGCATCACCGTGCACTCAATTACCTCAGGCAGAAACCTGGGACTCCTTGACTTTTTCTTTAGCCTCCATGCCTAGCGAGTCTACCTCCCTTTCATTTCCCAAACCCAATCCCCACCCTCTAGTTCTCTCATTGCCTTATTTCAGGTCCTTGCCATTTCTCACCAAGATTGTCCCAATGATCTCCTAACGGGTCCCAAGCCAGGCTGCTTCAAGAGTGGTCTTTACAAAATACAAAGGTGACCATCTTCCTTTGCTTTTAAAACCTTTAGGTGGTTCCTTACTATCCTCAACATGGCCCAAAGTTTCTGACACAGCATAACATGCCCTCACGGCTGACCCTCATTCTCTGTGCCAGCTTCGGCACACCTCCACCTCCAAAATCTTACCCTCCGGCCCACTGCAGCTCCCAAGATATACTATGCTCTCGCCCTTTATGGTTTTTGACTCTGCCACTCCCTCTGCCAGGAGCACTTCTCTCTCGTGCTTCTTGTCTACCAAACCCAGCCCCGTCTTCATCTCTGCTCGGACGTCACTTCTAATGACTCCAGAAAGCCTTCGGTGACATTCATCCCAGGACAGGCCAGTCGCCCTCCCTCCTGAGTGCTCCCCCAAAGCACTTACCACACTGTACTAACCCCCCCCTCCCCACACACACACAGTGACTAGTTACCTGAGAGCAGAAACTTGAATCCCCATCACACTGCCTGGCACAGCGGAGGCACATAATAAAACCTGTGCTATTTCTACTATATCAAACTCCAAGAAATATTATTTAATAGTTAGTTATGTCGCTAAAAATTTTGGCTGAGGTAACATAAAATTCTGCTATTCAAAATGAAATGGTAATAAAAATAGTTAAAAGTGGGTGCTTGCAGGGAGTAGGCCAGGGAGTAAGGCAAGGTGGGCCATGCGATGGACTGCTGCTTTTCACTAACAGCTGTTCTGTATTACCTGATATTTTACTGTGTGCGTGTGCTACTTCAACCAAAACACTTACACTGCACAAATTAGGGATCTGAAGAAAATCTATTCAAGGCGTCCTTTCCATAGAATGTGAGTAAGTTATGCTTTGTCGCCATCTGGTGTTTAACAGTGGAACAACAGCACCCAAGGCCCCAAACAACGATTACGGTCGGTCACTGCCACTTTTCAAGCCCTGTTCCAAGTTCTTTATGTGCATTTCTTATTCAATAAGAGGACCTATGCATTATTGGGTCCCCTTACTATTTTAAGTTTAAAGAAAAGAAGACAGGCCTTAGAGAGGCAAAGTAACTTATCTAAGGTCACTCAGCTCTTCATGGAGGAGCCGAAATTAAACCCAGGCTGCCTGGCTCCAGAGTCTTAGCTACACAAACTCCATCTCTCAAGGGACCACTAAAACTGATCTGATCTGCAGTAAAACCAACATCATGCCTGCTCTAATTCTGTGCACAGACAAATCAAGGTAAACAGGACGAATGGTCAGTGGCTCCAAAGCTCACGACGTCGACGGCATGGTTTTACAGCAGCAGAAGTGGGAGAAAACCTCACAAAAAAACACTCTGGACTCAGTAAGCCCACCCAGGGCTGAGGTTTCAGCCGGCCACTTTCAGGGGATTTGTAACTCCGACTCCAGCCGCCCTCTCATGTCCCAACTGCAGGCTGAAAATCACCCCCTACATGCCCACTCCTTATCTGCACCCTCCAACTTTCTGTGCCCTGTGTTAATACTCCCATTATCTAAACATCCTCCTGAGCAAAAAATACCGGTGCTTTCCTCTACCCGCCCTTCCCTACAACTCCTTACACTGAATCGGGAACCACGTCCTGTAGAAGACAGTAAACGCACTCTCATCGCCCTTGCTCTCTCCGTTTCCTCCATTTAGCAGCTCCCAACTACTCGTTTCCTCTTAGACCCTGCTTTGTAATCTTGCCAGACCTGTTACTGTGCGACGTTTTGAAGGACCCCCACACCAGGTCCTTCATAACTGGGCTCCCTTTTCCCATGTGCACTATTTTTCTTTGAGGCTCCTAGACAGAGTCACTTTTATTGAGAACTACAGTTTAGGGTCCCATGTGCACTTCTTACCACACACCTCTGCTCCAGCTGCTCTGGACACTCAACTCATTGCCCCTAAAACACAACAAGCATTTTTGAGGCCCAGGGTTAGTAGTACAGGTCGTTCTCTCCATCCGGAAGCCCATTCCTATAATCAATTCAACTTCTCCCTCTCAATTGGCAACTCCTATAATGTACTAACAAAACTCAAGACTTATTTTAAAAATAAAACTTCCCTTGATCCTTCTCTCCCCTCCAGCTGCTACCTTCTCTCTCCTCATACAGCCAAACTTCTCTAGGGAGCTGCGTATGCCTGTCTTCATTTCCTCACATCCACTCACTCCAACATGGTTTCTGCCCCATCATGCCACCAGTGACTTCCACACTGTAAAAGCCAAAGGACATTTTCCAATGCTCCTTCCCTCAACACCAGACAGAGCTGATCACTTCCTCATTCCCTCCACTTCCGAGATTCCCACACCTCCTCCCGGCTCTCTTCCTACTTCTCTGGTAGTGCCTCAGTTTCATCCTCTTCTGCCCGGACATTCAACACCGGTGTTTTTTTAATTCTTAGGCCCACTTGTCATCCATCCTCTCTCTCTCCCTGGGCAATCTCATCCATGCCCATAGCTTCATCCAGAAACTCTATCCACGTAATTCTCAGATTTGTACCCCTGGCCCAGGCTTCTCTCAATGACCACTTAAGATAACTCAAAGGCATTTCGAGCTCAACATGTTGAAGACCAAATGTATGATCTTCCTGCACAAACCTAATTCTCTTCCCGTGTTCCTTACATCTGATGCCCAACCATCCATCTATGCAACAAGTCAGAATTCGGGGTGCTATCCTTTGTACCCCTCCTGCATTCAATCTTGCCCTGTATCCCCCTGCCATAGTCTGTCTTCCACAAAGCAGGAGAGAAATCTTTTCAAAATAAAAATCAGATCCAGATACTTGCTGCTTAAAATCAACTGTTCTTTGGAGAAAGCAAAAATCTTTCCGAGGGCCACCAAAGCACCGAGGCTTGGCCCCAGCTGTGTTCAACACACAGCCTCCTTTGGTTCTCTCAACTTATATGCCTCACCCGGGAAGAGCGCAAGGATAATACCAACATGGGCCAATGAAGCGACATCCTCCACAACTAGAGTGAAGAACAAAAGGACAGCAATTTATCTGTTCCCCTCCCCCAATTCCCCAATAAAATCTTAAAAAAAAAAAAAAAGCTAACCAATCTTATCTACAAAATCACCATTCTCGTGTGCTTGTTTTTTAAATACACATATACAGTAACGGACTATCAAAATGAAAAATATTCACTTTTCCTAACTCTTCACTCTTTAGGCTTCAAGCTGGATTTCACCCTGAGGGCCACAGTTTGTCAACCCCTCTAAATTCAACTGTCATCCTCACTCCGTTCTTCCCGGAGCTGCTTTCTAGTCTCATTTTCTTATTAAACACCGCTCTTCCCAGTTTTGCTGCTAAAATCTCTTGTGACACAATAACCAAAATCTCCCCAAAGGACCTATCTGTGAGAGCAGCCAACTTAGGGCACCTGCTAGGGCTGAAGGGTTCTCTCTACTTGGCCGAAAGCAACAGCTAAGCAGGACGCACACCACTCCATGGAAGTGGCAGTGGGAGGCTTTCTCCCGGTGGGCGGGCTTGGTGTGCCTATCCAATAAGGAAATACAAGTGCTCTAAAACATCCATACGACTCCCTTCCTTCTATTACTTAAAATGCACACGCTGCATAATCACCACAGCACGTTTCATAAGCGATTAGAAGAATGAAGTGTGTGGTTAACCCATTTATTATCTGATTAAGAGGCACTTAGAGAGCTTTCGTTTCTATTAAGCTACAGTTTACAATTCATTCATTCAACAAATATTTGTTGAACATTCTCTGTTCATCGGGCATTAAACAACGGGGATGACAGTTTGCAAAAAAAAAAAGAAACGTTGATGTACATTCACCGCTACTCTCTATAACAGTGTTACTAATAAGAGCTAATAATTACATACTTAGCACATGCCATCACCACGCTAACTACCCTACACATACCACCTACATATATCAGCTGAGCACTGTTATCACCTCCCTCTCACAGACGAGAAAACACAGATTCTGAAAGGTTCGGTAAGCTGCGCAGGTCACAGTTGTGCAGCTGTAAAGTTAAGATCTGGAAGCCGTCTGACTTTAGGGTCTGGATTATAAACATAAAGCCACAGCTGGCCTAATCATGCAGTTATCCCAAATCACACTGCGCTGCTGCTGTCTGCATGGCTCCAATCTTACATCTTCAGCCCTGACTCACGTACCCTCAAACTCATGACGTAAACAGAGGACAACTTTAGGGGTATGTGTTCAACCTAAATCCATGTGGAACTCCAAGCTCTGAGGTATGACTCTGGTTAA